TGATATTTCCGGTGGTCTTTGGAAGTCTGTTATGCTCATTTATGTGTATCTTTGCTTATTTTGCTGTTTTTATGACTCAGACGTGATTAGATTCAGAACCAGTTCTACTCTCTGTGTTAATAGTCTCATTAACAGAACAAAAGAAAACTCCTATTTCCAAATTGAGCCATTTTACAGGTACTGATTGCCAGAATATCAACACATTATTTTGGGGGACACTATTAAAAACAGTAACTGAAGTTATTTAAAAATATGATATACTAGGATCTGTCTTTATTAAAAATAAGCTTAAAAATAGGAGAAATGTATTATTGATGGAAATGCAAACTAAACAGATTTCTACGAAATAATGTGATAATGTGGCAGTATTATTGAATAGTTTTTATTTGGTTGCTTGGTTTTTGGTAAATAAATATTTTTAATATATTTTGTCTAAGTGCCATTGGACTAATAAAAGGCATCATGATAGATATATAAAAGATTGAAGTTGTTAACAATTTCATTTTACTTGGATCCATAGTCAGTACCCATGGTAGCAGCAGTCTGAGAATCAAAGGGCACATTGCATTGAAAAATCTGCTGTGAAGGACCTCTCCAGAGTGCTAAAGAGCACAGATGTCAGTTTAAAGTGCATCTGATCCAAGCCTTGGCCTTTGCAGTTGCTTCCCAAGCATCTGAAGATTAGATCATGAATAAGGATGACAGAAGAAGAATCAATTCATTTGAATTGTGGTGTTGGATTATTTTTCTAATTCACTTTAGAATATAGTCCTAGAATAACTTTCCAAGCCGTTGTTGTTGATGTTGTCAGGTAATGTATAGTCGACTTTGACTGATGAATAACCCTATGAATAACAGATCAGAAACTTGATGATGACCCTATGAATAACAGATCAGAAACTTGCCTGATCCTGTTTCCAACAAATCAGCTGGATGTTATTCTTGTTGTTAGGTGGTGTTGAATCAAGTATGACTCCTAGTGACCCTGTGAGTAACAGATGTGAACCTTGTCCTATGCTGTACCTTCCTCACCATCTCTGACACACTTGAAACCATTGCTGCAGTTGCTGTGTTTATCCATCTGTTTGAGGGGTATCCTCCCTTTCACTAATCCTCCACCTTTCCAAGTATGATGTCCTCCAAAGAATAGTCTCTCCTAGCAAAATGCCCACAGTATGTGAGACAAAGCTGTGTGGTCTTTGTCTCCAAGGAGCATTCTGGCTGCACTTTCTCCAAAACACCTGTTTTTTGGTTGGCACCTGACATAAACAACATCTCTTCAAGAAAAGAAAAATGAGGGCTTGTTTATTGTTTAGGTTTGCCTTTTTTTGTTCCACTTTTAAAAAAAAATACTGAAACTAACTACAGCTAGTTTATCCAAATGACAGAACTAGTTAGTGGAAGGATACTGATGAGTGTAAGAGAACACAAGGACTGGTTGAAAAGCCAAACTCTGGGAAATGTAGAAACTGAAGCAGCTCTGAACATCTTAACAGAAGGAGATGAAGATTCCACCCAACACCTTCCTTTTTTCCTTTTTTAAACACATGCACATCCATGGTTATTGCAGTATTATTTATAATGGCAAAGAGTCAGAAACAAGCCAAGGGCCATCAACTCTTCTTAAGTGGTTGTGACACCATTTTTTTAAAAATGCAAGAAGGAAGGAAATTGTAGACAGGAAATTGACCAATTAAGCTGTTGAGCCATAGTTTGGACTTTGGCTGCTAGAGACTGTATCGAAGGTGGTAAAAGTGACAATAGAAAGGAAGGAATGATATATTACTAACATGAAGAATAATCAACAAGGCATGGTGATTGGAAAAAAGAGCAAGGAATGAGAAGGCGTAAAAAAGATTCTTAGTTCCTAGAAAGAAAAGTCAGGTGGAGTGGGCATGTAATCTTGTGGAAATATTTGAGAAGTTAAAGATGACTGAATGTTAAGAGAGCGGTCTTGTCTATGGCTATCAGAGTAAATGAGATTTCATTTATTGATTACGTATGTTAAGTAATTTTTTAAATTAAGCATTGTCAAATCCACCAGACGTTCTGCTGGAGGAGGGGCAATCTTCTCCTGTACCAGTCAGATCTGATTTGACGGTACATGCACAAAATAATAAAAAAATTAAAATAAAATAAATTAAGCATTGTCCAAGGGATTAAAGCTGTTAGCCAAACCTTCCTACCTATGGTTGGAAAAGTAGAAAGAAATGGCAAATCCATGAAAGATCAAAGAAGAAGTTACCTGTATTACTTATCTATTGCAGCATAATGGAATTTCCCAATAACTTAACAATTGCAAACATCTTGTTTGATCATTTTTGTGGGTTATGAACCCAGGAGAAAATTCTCTGAGAGGTTTCAGCTCAAAGACTCTTAATCAGGTTGAAGTCACATTTGCCTGGGGATTTTGTTTTTTACAAGACTCAGCTGAGGAAAGATCTACTTCCGACGACATGTAAGCTTAAATAGGCTGCAATTTTTCAAGTACTGTTGACTCAAAACAACAGTTCCTAACTATATTTCCAAGGGCCACGACAGCTGGTTTTTCCCACAATGAACTTGTCAAGAGAATGAGAAAACAGCATGGAAGAGAGGAGCCACAGTCTTTCAATAACCTAATTTTGAAAGTAAATCATTACTGCTGATTTCTGTTCTTTAAAAGCAAATCAGCAAAACAATTAT